AGTGAGCATCTAGGGACACACCTGCAGGTACCCCTCAGAGTGAGCATCTAGGGACACACCTACAGGTACCCCTCAGAGTGAGCATCTAGGGACACACCTACAGGTACCCCTCTGTGTGAGCATCTAGGGACACACCTACAGGTACCCCTCAGAGTGAGCATCTATGGACACACCTACAGGTACCCCTCAGAGTGAGCATCTAGGGACACACCTACAGATACCCCTCAGAGTGAGCATCTAGGGACACACCTGCAGGTACCCTCAGAGTGAGCATCTAGGGACACACCTACAGGTACCCCTCAGTGTGAGCATCTAGGGACACACCTGCAGGTACCCCTCAGAGTGAGCATCTAGGGACACACCTACAGGTACCCCTCCGTGTGAGCATCTAGGGACACACCTGCATATACCCCTCAGAGTCAGCATCTAGGGACACACCTACAGGTATCCCTCCCCTCAGTGTGAGCATCTAGGGACACACCTGCAGATACCCCTCAGAGTGAGCATCTATCGACACACCTGCAGATACCCCTCAGAGTGAGCATCTATCGACATACCTACAGGTACCCTTCCGTGTGAGCATATAGGGACACACCTGCAAATACCCCTCAGAGTGAGCATCTATGGACACATCTACAGGTACCCCTCCGTGTGAGCATCTAGGGACACACCTACAGGTACCCCTCCGTGTGAGCATCTATGGACACACCTGCAAATACCCCTCAGAGTGAGCATCTATGGACATATCTACAGGTACCCCTCCGTGTGAGCATCTAGGGACACACCTACAGGTACCCCTCAGAGTGAGCATCTGGGGACACACCTACAGGTACCCCTCCGAGTGAGCATCTAGGGACACACCTGCAGGTACCCCTCAGAGTGAGCATCTAGGGACACACCTACAGGTACCCCTCAGAGTGAGCATCTATGGACACACCTACAGGAACCCCTCCGAGTGAGCATCTAGGGACACACCTGCAGGTACCCCTCAGAGTGAGCATCTAGGGACACACCTACAGGTACCCCTCAGAGTGAGCATGGGGGACACACCTACAGGTACCCCTCAGAGTGAGCATCTAGGTACATCCCTGCAGATACCCCTCTGTGTGAACATCTATGGACACACCTACAGACACCCATCAGAGTGAGCATCTATGGACGCACCTGCAGACACCCCTCAGAGTGAGCATCTAGGAACATACCTACAGGTACCCCTCAGAGTGAGCATCTAGGGACACACCTACAGAGTGAGCATCTAGGGACACACCTGCAGTGTAAGCATCTATGGACACACCTACAGGTACACCTCAGAGTGAGCATCTAGGGACACACCTACAGGTACCCCCTCAGAGTGAGCATCTATTGACACACCTACAGGTACCCCTCAGAGTGAGCATCTAGGGACACACCTGCAGATACCCCTCAGAGTGAGGGAGGTGATCATCTAGGGACACACCTACAGGTACCCCTCAGATACCCCCTGTGACCCTGAGCATCTATGGACACACCTACAGGTACCCCTCAGAGTGAGCATCTATGGACACACCTACAGGTACCCCTCAGAGTGAGCATCTATGGACACACCTGCAGGTACCCATCAGAGTGAGCATCTAGGGACACACCTACAGGCACCCCTCAGAGTGAGCATCTATGGACACACCTACAGATACACCTCTGTGTGAGCATCTATGGACACACCTACAGGTACCCCTCAGAGTGAGCATCTAGGGACACACCTACAGGTACCCCTCAGAGTGAGCATCTAGGGACACACCTACAGGTACCCCTCAGAGTGAGCATCTATGGACACACCTACAGGTACCCCTCAGAGTGAGCATCTAGGGACATACCTACAGGCACCCCTCAGAGTGAGCATCTAGGGACACACCTACAGGTACCCCTCAGAGTGAGCATCTATGGACACACCTACAGGTACCCCTCAGAGTGAGCATCTATGGACACACATACAGGTACCCCCCAGAGTGAGCATCTATGTACACACCTACAGGCACCCCTCTGAGTGAGCATCTAGGGACACACATACAGATACCCCTCTGTGTGAGCATCTAGGGACACACCTACAGGTACCCCTCAGAGTGAGCATCTAGGGACACACCTACAGGTACCCCTCAGAGTGTGCATCTATTGACACACCTACAGGTACCCCTCAGAGTGAGCATCTAGGGACATACCTGCAGATATCCCTCAGAGTGTGCATCTAGGGATATACCTACTGGTACCCATCAGAGTGAGCATCTAGGGACATACCTACAGGCACCCCTCAGAGTGAGCATCTAGGGACACACCTACAGGTACCCCTCTGTGTGAGCATCTATGGACACACCTACAGGTACCCCTCAGAGTGAGCATCTATGGACATACCTACAGGTACCCCTCAGAGTGAGCATCTCAGATTCCTGCTCTATTTAGATTTCAGCTTCTTTATGATGTCTTCAAATCTTCAGTTAAAAGAGTCGGATTTTAATGAGTCTGTCACATCTGTAACTACGTTCGCCCTTCGATGATTTGAAATGAAAATGAAGAGGTATTTTTAAGCTGCCTTGAGGAAAGTTCCAGCTTTATAAAACGGTGTGGTACACTATAATTTTGTGCTCAAATCTGTGTAACTGGCAGGCTTCACACATTGTACCAATTACGGGAAATCGATGGGACAGGCAAAAGTACTAACCACTAACCTACCCCGCCGGCCTGAACACGGGTCCAATTCTCCAGTATTACTTACTGAACACTGTTTACATATACGTTCGTTTCAAGTTAAAATGCTTTAAATCCGTCATTCTTTTACCTGGTGATGATAATGTACACTGATTTATTGTGTTTAAACATATCACAATCACCAAGTGTATTGTCGATCATGACTTGCATTTAAACAAGTTTTATCATTAGTCTGACATCCAACTCCGTGTGATCGTTAGAAACCTGTCTCACTGACACTGCTGTTCAGGGTAATATTGACAACGTTCTGTGAAAGATTGAGTCTGCGTCGTCATTAACGTGTATCACTAATATGTGTTCAGAATATGTATTGCTGGAGTAGATTGATCATGTGCCCAATTGTTATTTTGTCGACGTATGTACAGAAATGTCCATTTGTAATATCTACCTGCAATTTGCGTTAGTAATACATATCAGCGATACACAAATTAATATATGTCAGAAATGCACATTAGCCACGCATACCAGCAATGTACATCAGTAATATATACCAGCAATGTACATCAGTAATATATACCAGCAATGTACATCAGTAATATATACCAGCAATGTACATCAGTAATATATACCAGTAATGTACATCAGTAATATATACCAGCAATGTACATCAGCAATATATACCAGCAATGTACATCAGCATGTATACCAGCAATGTACATCAGCATGTATACCAGCAATGTACATCAGTAATATATACCAGCAATGTACATCAGTAATATATACCAGCAATGTACATCAGTAATATATACCAGCAATGTACATCAGTAATATATACCAGCAATGTACATCAGTAATATATACCAGCAATGTACATCAGTAATATATACCAGCAATGTACATCAGCAATATATACCAGCAATGTACATCAGCATGTATACCAGCAATGTACATCAGCATGTATACCAGCAATGTACATCAGTAATATATACCAGCAATGTACATCAGTAATATATACCAGCAATGTACATCAGCATGTATACCAGCAATGTACATCAGCATGTATACCAGCAATGTACATCAGCATGTATACCAGCAATGTACATCAGTAATATATACCAGCAATGTACATCAGCAATATAAACCAGCAATGTACATCAGCATGTATACCAGCAATGTACATCAGTAATATATACAGCAATGTACATCAGTAATATATACCAGCAATGTACATCAGCAATATATACCAGCAATGTACATCAGCATGTATACCAGCAATGTACATCAGTAATATATACCAGCAATGTATCATATATACCAGCAATGTATACCAGCAATGTACATCAGTAATATATACCAGCAATGTACATCAGTAATATATACCAGCAATGTACATCAGTAATATATACCAGCAATGTACATCAGTAATATATACCAGCAATGTACATCAGTAATATATACCAGCAATGTACATCAGTAATATATACCAGCAATGTACATCAGTAATATATACCAGCAATGTACATCAGTAATATATACCAGCAATGTACATCAGAAATATATACCAGCAATGTACATCAGTAATATATACCAGCAATGTACATCAGTAATATATACCTGCAATGTACATCAGAAATATATACCAGCAATGTACATCAGAAATATATACCAGCAATGTACATCAGAAATATATACCAGCAATGCACATCATTCAAATACGAAAGTGAACCTTTACATCCCATTTCTAGGCAGCAAAATTCATATTGTTCAACTGGGTTTTGAAAATACGATATTAATAATGAATACTAATGGCACTTTCAGATGCTTGTTGGGGCACGATCCAGACATCATCGAAGTGTGCAATTGTGGAGAACAACTAGTGCAACTTCTTCTACAGGGCCACAATATGATAACTGAGCATATTTACTCATTTCAGAACAGAAAGGTCCGGGGGTCATTTTGGCTATCATGCTTTTTCATCTGTTTTGAACAGCACTTTAAGGAACCTTAACATATAGTGTCGCTGTAAGAGGTCCCGGGCATTCTACACTTCTACATATAAGACGACATAATTACATGAATATACATAAACAAGTGATCCCTTTCTCTGACATATGCCGCTTGGCAAGATATTTTACAATACTTACTGGCTGCCATGTAAATTTAAGTATCTGCTGCTGACTAACTGTAGCCATACTTGTTACAAGAAATATCTCAGTCCCAGTTCAAGCAGATTTTGAAAAATATAAACAACGAAAACATTGCCACAATATATATTTACTTGCTGAAATATAGTATTATTAAAATGACAAAATATCACTTACGACTCAGAAAAACAATTCCGAGTTGTCAATATTCGTGTCACAGTCACGCTGGTCTGCTAGTCGGCTGTTGTTACCCACAGCTGCGGAAGGGGTAACGTTGTTTTTAGCACTAGTCCTTTCTATAAACTGCCAGAAGTCCTCCCCAGGGTGGTCGTCCTCTGGGGTTGGGTCTTCGTGTTTACACAAACAACAAAACAGTAACTTGTACAGGCTCTGGAGCTCCCCACGGATCGTCCGGTTCATCCAGCCGTAGAGGAAGGGGTTCAGGGAAAAGGAAACATAACCCAGCCATGTTGTCAGGATCTCCGTTGTCTGTCTATGAACGACGCTACCAAACACTGCCCCGTGAATGTGGAGGATGAAGTAAGGTCCCCATAGCGCAATGTAAGCTGTGAGAATCACAATCAACGTCTTGATGGCTTTGAAATGTTTCCTGGTTGCTTTAGGTAGTTGTCTGGAAGGCAACACAGACACATGGGATGAAACACTTTCTCTAGTGTCGTTTGACAGCGACCCTGATCCGATTTGATTTCTGCTGAGGGTGGAGCACAATGTTTGAGGGGACGGCTGGGGGTGCACTTGGGTGGCTGCAAGTCTAGCCACCTTGAATATTCCGTAGTACATAAACATTAAAATAACCCCGGGAAGAACGAAACACCAGAAGCCGATGACAAATATATAGACTCTGCTGTAGTTACCATCCTGCCATGTGAAGGAACAATGCTTCTTGTGGTGTCGGTACTCATACGAGCTAAGTCCTAGCAGAGGGAGAACAGCGAATACCACACTCTCTGTCCAGATGAACAGGATGACCAGTAATGTCCGACACAGGGTCATGTTGGCGGCGTGGTGCATGGGGAGGCGGATGGAATAATAACGCTCTATACTTATGGTGCACAAGTTGGTTATTGAAGCAAACGTCAACAACGAGTTGATGAATCCATTGATGGTACACGCCGTGGTGTCCAGGGGCCAGCGTCCCTTAATGAACGAAACTATAGACATGGGGAGAACAAGGACGGATGCCAGAAGATCCACACTGCACAGATTCAGAACGAACAGATTGGTTAGAGTGTGGCGAAGTTGCGAGCACTTTAAGATTACGATGATGTTGCTGAGATTGCCAACAAAGGCAACGACGTTGACAATGCACATTGCTGTCACTGACACAGCCCGAGTGGCCCCCGGTATATACAGGTCTGAATAGTTATCAGAGACGTTCATGTCTGTCCCTGTAGAGAGATAGGACATTATGAACCTCACATCACCTGCTGGAAATAACTGACTTTAGTTGCTGTGTATCTTCATTAGTTGCAGTCAGTATCACATCGTCTGTCTCTTATCATTAAGTATTCTCGCTGCAAATGGATAATATCGTTTGAAAAAATTGAATTAGTTCCAAGAAATCAGCACACGTTTTGCACTTGTTATCCCAGAAAGCTAGTGCACAAATGTTTAGAAAATGTTCGAAAGTCCAAAACATCATTGCTCATCCATGACACATTGATCCATATGTGAGAGATTATTCGTGATATTTGTGAACTAGCCAGCGGTATGTATTTGGTCCACCTGTTTACAGAATCAGACAAACAGTTGATTTATGGCAGCGCTGAAAGCCTCAGGTGTAGTACTGCTATTGATTGGCTCCCAGTCTGCGCATGTGAAAAACTGGACTGCTTGTAGATTTTAACGGTTGCCTGGTAACTTAAAATAAACCCTTAACAAGGTGTGAACAAGCAGAGTAGACAATACGCACAAACCGAGACAGTCGGAACGAGGAGATAATCTAGATTAGCTTTGCCCAGAGCAAAAGACAATCAGAACACACAGCGTGAGCCTTGCAAATAGCCAATCCTGACAGATTGGCCACATATTCATTGCAGTTTTCAATGACTGCCTGGTAGGCAAATAATGCCAGTACCGACGCAATTCTCAGGATCGATAATCAGGAACTAGTAGGAACAATTCGCAGTTCTTAACAACGTGTGTCTAAGAGGTGTTACCCATTACCATTGAGTGGGAGAGGTATGATAGCATGTTTGACATGTCACAGTGTGGTTTATCTCCCTTATATTATATACCACCGTATTAGATTTGAGGTGTCATTCAGCATCACACTGTGCTGGAAGATGTAGTGGGCGTAAAGGGGCCAGTCGTCTAAGATACCGGAATTATACAAAGTTGCGTCCCTTAGTCATGTCAGGAACCATTGGTTTCTGTTTCGAATCCATGGTTCACGCTGATGATTGTTCTAGGTTTGTCAGGTTTGTCATACTTGCGGGTTTCACTTCTCAAAAACAGAGCCAAGTCCTACTTTTCATCAGATCGCGGCTTGGGTAATCATGTCAAGCCCCAAAACATACCCCAGGTTCATGAAATATCAGCTTGGGTCATCATGTCATGCAGACGAACATACCCCAGGTTCATCATATGGCAGCTTGGGTCATCATGTCATACAGGCGAACATACCCAGGTTAATCATATGGCAGCTTGGCTCATCATATCATACAGGCGAACATACCCCAGGTTCATCATATGGCAGCTTGGCTCATCATGTCATACATGCGAACATACCCCAGGTTAATCATACGGCAGCTTGGCTCATCATGTCATACAGGCGAACATACCCCAGGTTCATCATACGGCAGCTTGGGTCATCATGTCATACATGCGAACATTCCCCAGGTTCATCATACGGCAGCTTGGGTCATCATGTCATACAGACGAACATACCCCAGGTTCATCATACGGCAGCTTGGCTCATCATGTCATACAGGCGAACATACCAAGGTTCATCATATGGCAGCTTGGGTCATCATGTCATACAGGCGAACATACCCCAGGTTCATCATACGGCAGTTTGGCTCATCATGTCATACAGGCGAACCTTCCCCTAGGTTAATCATACGGCAGCTTGGCTCATCATGTCATACAGGCGAACATACCCCAGGTTCATCATACGGCAGCATGGGTCATCATGTCATACAGACGAACATACCCCAGGTTCATCATACGGCAGCATGGGTCATCATGTCATACAGGCGAACATACTCCAGGTTAATCATACGGCAGCTTGGGCCATCATGTCATACAGGCGAACATACTCCAGGTTCATCATACGGCAGCATGGGTCATCATGGAATGTAGGACAGTGAGACACATATTGTAAACACATGAAAAGAGTACAAAATGTCAGTGACTTCAGGTCTTTGAGTCACACAGTACAAAAGCCATTTATGTGCGTGACAAAAATGTATGAGAATATTACAAGTCTAAAATAAAGAGATAATGGACTAGTGTAGAGCAGGGAGTGGAGTTACGACTATAAGAGGGACAAACAATCAACGGCGGGCTGTTACTGGAGACAATCAGCTGTCTTTTGCAAATGAACTGAATGACCTTTATCCTTGATTTGGCAACTTGTATTTTACTTCTGAAATGGAATATGTATCCTAATCACATCAATCCGATTGAAATTTCCTTTTGCGTAGCTTATACTCTCGCGGAAAGTTAATGTACGTAAAGCTAGTGTTCCTGGAAATGTGAGTGGTTTTGTGTCTTTGGACACATTAAGGCAAGAATTTATGGATGTCGACTTCTTTATTTGAACGACACGACGTATCGGAGTATATTCTTACTCCTTCATCAGGTCCATCGTTAAAAGTGTTGCCATCCATAAATTATTGCCTTTATGTGAGTGGTTTTGTGCGTCGTGAGCAGTTCTGTGGCATGTTTAAAGAATGATTTCAAATTTCATCAATTTCCCACAACTTGAAAACATCAAACAACATCTCTTCTCCAAAATGCAGCAGCCATTTGTCCATAATGATTGCCGTCCGGTAGCATTAACCTCCACTGCCATTACGTGTTTGGAAAGTATTGATAAGATGTTAACTTTTAAATGAATTTAAACATATTTTGGATAGATCCATTGCGTACACGCCAAGAGGAGGTGTTGAAGATGCCACACTTACACTGTATATAACATTTATACTCATCTGAAGGAATGCGGTGACTCGTCGTAAGCAATGTGGTGACTATTTTCGATTTCCATATGTAGACTTTTTATCGGCTTTCAGTACTATCTAAACCCATTTTCACATGTCAGTGAAATGCATGTAAATTCTACTATCATTAAATGGAAGCTTTTATCGTCCAAATACCACAGCATGTTACTGTAAACGGCACCTTGCTCTTCAGCTATGCGCATAGCCATTGGTGCTCAACGGGGTTATGCACTTTCTCCCATCTTGTGTATTTCCTACACAAATGGCTGCCAGTGCACATACACTAACTGTCTTGTTATAGATTAAAAGTTTAGGTATTGAATACAGAGATATGATTTCTTATTTTACGTCAAAATGTGAACGTAAATTTCTATTCTTAAAAGTTAACAAAGTGAAAAAATCAATCTTTGTCTTCAGTTTTGATTTTATCCATGAAACAGGGCAGAAGAGGGTATATTTCTTACGGCGTCTGAAGCATGTTAATATTGACAGGATCGTCATATGTCTGTTTTACACATGGTATGGAACCCTCTGTATTCAGAATAAAATAAAACTTTCACAAATTATAAATACAGCATGTAAATCATCGGCATCCCGTTACCAAGCATTGATAGCTTATTCTAGCAGTACATTTCTACACAAGCACGTAAAATAATAAGTGACAATAATAGATTCATAATCGAGTCTTAACCAGACAATCCAGTGATCAACAGCATGAGCATCGAGCTATGCAATTGGGATGCGAATGGAATGTTCCCGACTGAATAGATTATAGCTGAGCACCAGGATCTACAATAATACCCTGTCAACCCCGAAGTGACGTTTTCTCAGGACCCGTGGAGATCGAGGTTAAAATTAGTCTTCAGCAACACATGCTCCTTGACTTGGTTGACACATGTTATCGTATCCTATTGAAAGGTGCTCATGATGGCAATCACTGGATTGTCTAGTTCAGACTGGATTATTTTCAGACCGCTGTCAAAAACTTGGGATATTGCTGAATGTTGCGTTAAATAAACACGTTCGATTCCATTGAAGATCACGCTTGTTCATTGGTAAAGCCAATTTTATATCGTTATCAGCGAAAGATCAGATAGCAGCATTGTAACTGTTCTTAACTATAACTGTTAACGGAGAATTTAGCTTGTAGATTATTTCTAGAACGAGGTGCTTCATGTCTGTAGATCTAGGAAATAAGCACTTATGTGGTCAATATTTTCGTGATAAACAGTCGATCAAGTAACTGACAACTCTTCATTATAAGTATCAATGTTAACGTATCGACGTGGGCCTGACCCATTTCACCGGTAATGTCGGAAGTGAACCTTTCTCTATCTGTGTCCTCCCTACTTAGTACATAGCTGTTATCACGCCTTGCTGCTCTGAGCATGTCGGTATCATGGCAACGGCAAACACGTGAACCTTCTCTATTTTTCCACAGGAACTGACCCGGAAATGACGCTGGAGGTACATGCAATTACCACGCTGTGCCACCTGATCGAACCATGGGAGATGAGTGCCGCAGCACACTATACAGACTCAGTTGGAACGAACGAATAAAATATCCTAAATATGTTGATGAAGACCGCAGTATTCACCTTGAATGTTCCGAATCTTTATCAGTAGGAATTCAGTGAAGAGAGATGGTTTAAACAATAATGTATTACAAAACAATGGAATGGGCAACAGGTCATGCCTTTTAAAAGACCTCCACCGTCTAACAAACTATATTTGTTGGTACAACAACTGTTTATATATATTACATGGTCCCATGTTATGCTAAAATCTATATAACTGTACATACTACAATTACATAAGGTGTTATGCATGATCAAAATAATTTAATTGTTTGCTCAAAGTCATGGACAAATTCTGATAACCATAAAGGACAGTAAGTGATGCTAATTAATGATGAAGACAGTGGAGACTCTCCGCTATTACACAGTGATTCATAATGAAGAAAAATGTTATTGAAAGGCATTTAGAAGTTGGACGAACATGAATACATGACACGTTTTTATGAATAACACCACATCAAAAATCCCGACCACCATATTTCCTGACAACAAATTAAGATTCTACGTACCAACATCAACCACTGGAAAAAGAGGAAACCTCAATAAAGCATCGAAATCAAAAGAAGGAAGCCAGCCATTAACCGAGACCAAGGCATCTACCTCCCAGTGTGCACTCCACTTGTGCTATAATGATCGACTTCTTCTTACATTGTCAAACTTGTCAACA